CAAATTAAGAAAAATTTATCCTTTCACATTTTGATAAATTTTGGAAAAACTGTTGATAGAAAAATTCTGAAACTTTTGCAATAGAAAGAGGAAAGAAAAGAACTCATTATATCGAAATTTCAAATTATTTGGATGAAAAATAGAAACGTGAGAAAATCTTGAAAATTCACTTAAAATAACCACATTAAGAAAATAGTATATTATTCAACGAGCGGGTAATGATGGCTATTACTCACGAAATTTGGTGTAAAAATGACCGATTGGAATATTGAAGTATGTTGTCAGTTGTCAGCTGGTCGAATTTTCTGATTGGCTCTTAAATAGTGGCGTAATGAGACCAGGATATTTTCATTGGTTGAAAACAATTAGGTAATAAAAAAAAACTCACTGTATGAGTAATCATTCACATTATTCTACTCATAGAAAAATGCAATTTTTTCACATTTTGACGATTTTTCGAAAAATTGTTGATAGAATAATTCCGAAAGTTTTGGAGTTGAAAGAAGAAAGAAAAGAGCTCATTGAACTGAAACTCCCTGTAGCAGTAGTGTGTAATATCCTTGATCACAAATGTCAGGATTCAATATAGCAGCAATGGTCAAGCATCTCATATTATGTGATGTTTCTTTATTTAACCTACGTTTTTGAACGTAATTTTTTATTTATTTTATCCCTGTGATATTTTAATTTTCAATGAAACGGAGAATAAAATTTCCTCTAGTGCGATAAAACAACTAACATCTAAGTATTAAATTGTCTTACGTATAATAAAGAGCAATGAACAATATTATTATAACTTTCTCAAGTTGGGAAAATTGTACATAATCTGACAACACTGCGCATTCGTGAAGTTTCTAGTCATTAGCCAGTGTTGCTAGATTGTACAGAACTTCCCCAACTTATGAGATTTATAACAATGTGTTAGTAATGTTGCTCCCACTTTGATTCTCAACGATCATTAGTCTAAATAAGAGGATGTTTACGTAATATTATAGAATCTAAAACAATAATGAAGAATATAGTAACATACAGGGTGGTCCAACACGCTGGATTCAGTCAATAGTAGTCAAAACGTTGAACTACTAACGGAAAACTCTTCTTTATGGAAGTTTCAATATTTCATCTCCTCTATAATGCAAAATTATTTCAAGTTTTTGTACAGGGTGTATCAAAAAAGTGTAATACGAAAATTGATTTTTTTTATAAATGGAATACCGTATGTTTTCATGTGGCGAATATAGGTTCTATATTTAAGTTGGTTTAAATACAGCGTTGCCAAGTTACAATTTTCAAAAATAAACCCAGACTTTTTTTTAATTCTCATATCTCCGTCAGTGTTTCTTAATTTTTCTGAAAAATGTACATGTGCTCTAATGTTAGCCTAGTTTTTCCTAAACTATCTTAATTTTTCGATTTAGGTATACGGGATGTCCAAAATATTTGTTTAAACATGTGAATTTTAAATTCTATTTTAATTGAGTTTTTTTTATATAACAACCCGTATATTATTTTGCTATTGGAGAGTAGAAAATGTTCTCTTCTATTGAAATTGATGATTTTATAGATTTTGACGTGCTCTTTCCAAACTTTTAATTGGCCAGCTCATATCTTTGACGTTTATGTCGCTATATTGGAAAAATGATCCCATATCTTATTTTCTGGTCATCAGCCAGGGTAGCATAATTGTGCAGAACTTCCCAAACTTGAGACTTCAAATATAGAACAATATCTGATTAATGTTGTTACTACATAATTTGATTTTCACCGATTTTTACTAACGATCATTATTCTGAATAAGAGGAGGTTTACCAGTGGCGGCTCGTCGGAGGAGGCAGGGGAGGCTAAACCTCCCCCAAAAAATTGAAAATTCAATCTCAATTTTTTATTCCTGATTTCTAATTAAAATAATAATTCACAGAATTCCAATTTTCGATATTTCAATGTAATTTAGAAAAATCTGATATTGTTTCAATCAATCTCGTGCCTCCACGACAAAAATCTGAGAATCTGGGATACTCAGTAATACCGGCCCGAAGGGCCGGAGTTATATGCGAGCCCGAAGGGCCGGAGTTATATGCGAGCCCGAAGGGCTGGAGTTATATGCGAGCCCGAAGGGCCGGAGTTATATGCGAGCCCGAAGGGCCGGAGTTATATGCGAGCCCGAAGGGCCGGAGTTATATGCGAGCCCGAAGGGCCGGAGTTATATGCGAGCCCGAAGGGCCGGAGTTATTTTAATCACGGGGCTCATCAGTCTATAATTCCATTGGTCAGCGGATAATTTAGAGCCAATCAAAAACCGGGAGTATTTAAAATGCGATTTTTAGCGTTCGATCAAAGAGCCGGAATATTCAAAAACTTTAGTTTTATCAAATTGACTTTGGAATGTTGGTTTTCTCAAGATTTTTACTTTTTTCAGAAAACGGTGGTTTTTGCATACTTTATCGTTGTCTTTGTCTTACTGACTATAATCAATAAGTGAACCTTGTAATGTCATTTTCATTAAAATTAAACTAAAAACAAGTTTCCTATGATTTATTTGGGGAATTTTAATTATTATAATCATTATTAATTAAGTATTAAATTGAATTTTAAACAGAAAACCCTTTTAAAATGTTATTTTTGTTTTCGGAGATGAGATGTGGCAACGTCGTTGCTTTTAGTTGGCCATTTTGAAGTGACATGTGATTTTTGTCAGTTTTTTCTCGAATTCTCGACTTTTTCGGGGTTTTTAATGGAAAAAAGCGATTTAACATACGAGGTTTTGAGTTTTCTTAATTTTTTAGTAAAAATTTCTAGTTTTAAATGCCATAATTAGCAAAATTCCATTTAAAATGCTTTTGATGTGGCAACATTGCTTGTGGCTAACTTCAATCAAGGAAGCATTCAGTTTTTCTTCGAATTTCCACTTTTCCGGGACTTTTTCAGTCGGGAAAACTGATTTAAAGTACGAGGGTTTCCTTCATTTTCCAGCAGTTTTTCAACGGGGTAAGTGAGAAAAACTTTAGTTTTATCAAGTAGGTTTTGGAATGTCATTTTCGTTGGTTTTTTTTTGGAATTTTTATTTAAGATTTTTGGGGTCCGGGGATCGTTTTTTACCACTTTTTTTCTCGAAATTCGCAAAATAAAACAAAAAACTTTTTTGACGTTGACAGCTGTCAATTTTTTTTGACACAAATCGATAGTTGGCGTCGCGAAACTGCCTTGTACCGGAGTTTGATTTTTATAGTAGAGCGGGAAAAAAGTCGAACATGTGTCAAATTTGACAGGTGACATCTGTCGATATTGCCAAAGTTTCGTGCGACAAAAGTTTTATCCGAATGAACCCGTTCATTGCTAACTGATTTTAATACTTCAGCCCTTCGGGCCGTAATCTTTGAAACAAAAAGACGCCATTTTGTATCGATTGTCAAAAAAACCCAAGGTTTGAAATTTCAACTTTTTGACGTTTGTTGTATCATGAGCAATGTTGCCATATGTTTTTTTTTTTTTAAATTTCGAGGTCGACAGGCCCAGATTATAGGTTATTTTAAAGCCAATCAAAAGCCGGGAAAATTCAAAGTTTAAAGCCAATCAAGAGCCAGGAATAATCAAAATTCGAAACCCCAAACCAATCAGGAGCCGGGAAAATTCAAAAATTCGAATTCCAAACCCGACGGGAAATTGAATTTTTTATACCAACTGTTGCTACATGTTGTTACATAAATCTCACCCTAAAACCCACTAAAAAACGATCTTTGTTTTTTGGGAAAAACTGAGATTGACAGCTGTCAAAATTTTAAAAAACCTAAATGGGCATATAGATTTAACCTCGGCGAATACGTAGGAAGTACCAATTTTTTTTTTTTTACATATGTCAAAAAAGACGTTCGGCGTTGTCAGGCGGTTGGTTTTGGACATATATCGATGAAACTTCTTATTTTAGGGTTTTCGGAACCTGGGGATCGTTTTTTGACATTTGTTTTTTGAAAAAAAGAAAAGATAAAAATTTTTGACATTGACATTTGTCAAAATTTTAAAAAAAAAGATTTAGCTTCGGTGAATACGTAGAAAGTAGCCAAACAGGAGCCAATTTTTTGACGTTTTTTTTTCAAATCTAGAAATAGAATATTATGAAAAATTCCCTTCCCCCGAAGCAAAAAGTTTCTCATGGAGGGGCGGCAAAACAAGCTCTTATACGAGGGCGGCCAAAGAGCTAGAACCGGCCCTGACATTGTAGAGAACTGAAACTCGGAATATCAACTAAAAATCACATTTTGAATATTCCCGATTTTTTATTGTCTCCAAATTATCCACCCAAATTATCCACTGACCAATAGAATTATAGACTGGACTTTAGCCCTTCGAGCTCGCGTATAACTCCGGCCCTTCGGGCTCGCATATAACTCCGGCCCTTCAGGCTCGCGTATAACTCTAGCCCTTCGGGCTCGTATTACTCCGGCCCTTCGGGCTCGCATATAACTCCGGCCCTTCGGGCTCGCATATAACTCCGGCACTTCGGGCCGGCGATATTTGGAAAGTGTAATTTCTGAATTATTATTTTAATCAGGAATGAGGAATAAAAAACTGAGATTAAATTTTCAATTTTTTGGGGTAGGCTTAGCCTCCCCTGCCGAGCCGCCACTGTGAAAATTTGTATACAAGTTGGTCAAAATCCCAGAAAAAGTCGTAAGATCTACTCAAAATCACTGAACATCTTCAAAATCTTTTAGCCTCCTTACTTGAAATAGTCACGAGCCGCTACTGAGGTTTACATGTTATTTTGAAATCTAAAAATTTTGGAAAAACAATATAAAGAATATTTGTAATAAATAAGGCATATATTTACATTAACAGAAAAATGTATATTACCTACTTAGGAAAAGTAATTTCTTCTCTCGTAAAGTAATTGTGACATTGTTAAAATTACAACAAAAAAGTACCACTTTCCGCTCTTGTTAGGTAAACAACTATTGACTAATTAACAGCGTTGACCGTCGAAAACAATACAATAAACCAATTCAATGCGCGGGAGGAGCACTAAAGGTGGGAGATGGGTAGTCACTTTAACCTGTTGCATATTTGCTACTCCAAGAAAGTACCGCCAGAACCGACTTCAGTCTTCGCTTGGTCTTGTGGTGCACAAGTCGTGCAGCATCAGCGCGGCGACAATGTTACAATACGACGCCGAAATCTCCGAAAGACTCGGCTTGTTGGACTCCAACAACAACCCGAGCGGTGCGGAAAAGTACTCTTTGCGGCCGCGTTCGATGCGCAAACATTTAGATTTCGAAGAAATCCCTTTGATTCGTTCGAAAAAAAATTGCAGCAAACCTCAAAAATCGGCACCGCTGAGCAAATATCGCCGGAAAACCGCCAACGCTCGCGAACGTTCCAGAATGAAGGAAATCAACCAGGCGTTCGAGGCGTTGCGTAAGGCAGTGCCTCAAATTGCTCCCGATCAACAGCAAAATGAAAAACTCACGAAAATTACTACTTTGAGATTGGCAATGAAGTATATCAGCGCTCTTAGCGCTGCGCTGAGCAGCCCTTCGTCCAGTCAGGATTTGTTTTCCGAGATGCTTTTGTTGGAATCAGATGGTGAATCTTTGCCACCGGTTTCGGATCATTCTTCGCCATCGTCAGGCGATTTTTGCGTGATGGATTTCGATGATTCTATGGATTTTAGTTCGGAGTTTTCCGAGCATCGGTTACCTTTTGACTCGTATTTGACGGATTTTAGTTAACGTGCAGTTTTAATTAAAAGTCAATTTATTATTGTTAATCAGGAAACTTACTTTTCAATGATAAATTGCACCTTTAACATACAAGAAAAAAAATAGATTTATTATTGTGATATTCCTTTTATTGAATAGATTATTAATTTTATTTTGTTATTATTATATTTTTCAAATTAATTTATATCTGTCTGCCCATGGCCTGTATTTTTTGGTGCCATAAAAACCCCTTATTTTTCTATGTGAAAGTTTTTTTTTTTTTCAACGTGAAATCGAGTGCCTTATTTTTTGTATATTTTTGTATATTATATTTTTTATATAATATTTTTTTGTTTTATTTTTTCTTTGGTCTAGGCTATTTTGGAATTATTATACCTATAATCTTAAATTGTACAAAATTACCCAGCTGCATGAAAATTTCCTCTATAAAGTATTTTTAGTAAATATTTCCCTTGAATTTCCAAAATTTTTCCAAATTTCACCAGAACTTCTTGTAAGTAGGTACCTACGTACTTTTTAATGGTTTATGTAACAACTAAAATCTAAGCATATTGATTTATCAAAAAATAATACTAAAAATAGTCTTAAAAAGTGTGGAAAATTAGGGAAATTCTGAAAATATTTGGGCAACTATTAAAAAATGTCAAATCATTTTTTTCTCAGACTGTAGCTCGGTTTATTGTAGCTTGATTTTTCAAATCCTATTGAAGTCACTTATTCTATTTCCAAAAAATATATAGAGAATTTTATTATTTTTCTAGACAATCTATGTATGTTACCTACAAGTTTCCTGTTCAGGTACTTACGTCGAAAAATTGCTGAGGCAAAAAAAAGATTTTTTTTTCGAGTTAGACTTGAAATCCCAGTAAAAATAATTACAATTATCTCAAGATACCTATTTGTATTAAACATTGGATACACCAAAAACATAAAAAGATTAAAATTTTACGTATCGATTCGATTTATCGATAACGATTTAAAAACACATTTTCTCGATACAATTTTTTTTTGTATGGATACCACTTCTAGCGATGTTACTGACATTGCAACTGAAAAGTTGATCTTGAAAATTTCCTTATTTTGCCATATTCTCCTTCCTTCTTCTTTCATCATTCCTTCCTCTTTCTACTCCTAAAGTTTCAAAATTTTCCAATCAACAAATTTTCGAAAAATCGTCAAAATGTAAGTAAAAGGGTGCATAGTGTCCAAAAGTATTCTATAGCATTTCAGAACATTTTAGAAATTTCAGAACTATTTTAGAATGCCCCAAAACATTCAAAAATCAATAAAAACAAGTTCCAAAAGCATTTTAGAACAATTCAGAGAAATTTGAAACCAATTTTTAGGACACTCTAAAACATTTAAACACTCTAGATTCTCCAGAAACATTTTGGAAAGCGACAAAATCTTAGGGTTCCCAGTAAACACAGCTAAGTTAAAGTAGAAATTTACGTAACTACTTTGATTTCACCAATCGAAATTAGGGGTCAGTTAAGTTAGCCCCCCCATAAAAAATTTCTGGATGAAAATTATCTCATAATTTTGCTCTCCTTTTGCTCCATTTTGCTCCACTAATTTCGATTTTTGCTCCATTACAGTGAAGAGACTATGTGGCCTATTAGGTGGGGGGGGGGGGGGGGGGCTAAATTAACTCCAAAGAATCTCTCCCAGTGAAAATTCTGAAATTTGATCATGCTCATTTTGTTCTCCGAGTTTTGCTCCATTTTGCTGCACTATCAGTGAGTTTTGCTCCATTACCAGGAGAGACCCACAAAGCTCCAAAGAATCTCTCCCAGCCCCTCCCAGTGAAAATTCTGAAATTTGATCATGCTCATTTTGTTCTCCGAGTTTTACTCCATTTTGCTCCACTATCGGCGAGTTTTGCTCCATTACCAGGAGAGACCTACAGAGCTCCCAAGAATCTTTCCCGGCCCTCCCCCGGAGAAAATTCTGTTTGATCATGCTCATTTTATTCTCCGAGTTTTGCTCCATTTTGCTCCACCAGATTTTCACTGGGGGGGGGGGGGGGGCTGGGAGAGATTCTTTGGAGCTCTGTGGGTATCTCCTGGTAATGGAGCAAAACTCGCCGATAGTGGAGCAAAATGGAGTAAAATGGAGCAAAACTCGGAGAATAAAATGAGCATGATCAAACAGAATTTTCTCCGGGGGAGGGCTGGGAAAGATTCTTGGGAGCTTTGTGGATCTCTCCTGGTAATGGAGCAAAACTCACTGATAGTGCAGCAAAATGGAGCAAAAGTCGCAGAACAAAATGAGCATGATCAAAGGACCCCGCACACCTCCTCTTATGGGTTTTTGGTTTTCTGTCAAACTCAATGAAATTTTGATAGGTGGTATATCTTGACTTACTGATAAAAAGTTCCCATGGGCCCAACCCGATACTATGAATAGTTTCCGAAATACAGGTGGTTTAATGTCCAAGAAATGTACACATTTTATATGCATTCACATCTACCTGTCACCTATTAATAGGTCTGTCAGAGTGAATTTCATTGGTTGAAACTAGTTTTCTGACTGTTTTTGACCAATCAAATTCGCTCTAACGGGTTTGTGATTTTTGCAGAAACAGACCTATTATTAGGTGACAGGTAGATGTGAATACATATAAAATTTACATTTCTTGGACATTAAAGTACCTGTATCTCAAAAACTAATCATAGGATTGGTTCGGGCCCATGAGAACTTTCTATCAGGAAGTCAAGGTCTAACACATAGCAAAACTTCATTGAGTTTGACAGAAAACCAAAAACCCATAAGAGGTGTGCGGGGTTTTTTCTGAATTTTCACTAGGGGAAGGGGGAGGGCTAGCGTTAATTCAGCCCCCCCCCCCCCCCACCTAATAAGCCACATAGTCTCTCCACTGTAATGGAGCAAAAATCGACATTAGTGGAGCAAAATGAGAGCAAAATTATGGGATAATTTCCATCCAGAAATTTTCTATGGGGGGGGCTAACTTAACTGACCCCGAAATTAGTGGAAAAGCGTTTTTGCAATTTGTTTTTTCGAGGTTTTAGGGCTTGTATACAGTACGATATATCGATAATTTGAATTTTCTTTGCTATCCCTAATCAATAAGATCTCCTCTCTCTCTAAGGGCCGGTTTTTCAATAGTGAGTCATTTCCGGGTTGGTTTTAACTCCAGAGAATGCGTGTTCAGTTGCTATGTTCACCGCGGAGTTATATTCAACCAGAGGATAACTTGCTATTGAGAAACCAGCCCTTACATTGTCTATTTATCAAATATTATAGAAAAACTAGCTGACCCAGCGAACTTCGTACCGCCTCTGAATTATTAAATACCTATTAAATCGATCTAATCTAGGTCAATCGAATATAGAGATACGTAGTATTAAATTCAAGATCGGTCTAGCCGTTCTCGAATTCAAAAAATAATAAAGTTACATCAGTTGAATGCGCAAGCCTAAATAAATGAAATGTGGCAACGTTGTTTCGTGTTGTCAAAAAAAAGTTAGGTGATGTTGTTATGTAATGTAAATGAGTTTGTTTATAATTAAATTAATAATTAATTGAAAATTTATTTCTTTTTCCGAGATGCGTAACCTATCCACAAACCTTTCATAGAATGGCCATAACAACTTACCAAAGTTTCATCGTAATCGGATGAATGGTTTAGGAGCGCATAAGGCACAAACAAACAAAAAAACATTGATTTTTATATATATATATATATAGAAAAGGGTGCCCTCGCTTGGATCATAATAGAGAGATATCGGTGAACCGGATATAGCGCGTATGGACGGTAATAACGTCAAGAGTTATTTTTTTAAAGTAAAGCGGTATCATAGTTTCAAATTAGAGTTATCGGAAAACAGTTTAACGTAAAATTTGCCTGTTCGTATCCATTATTTTATAACCGTAGCCTAACTTGTACCTTGTTGTGATTTTGATTTGTGTTGTCTGTTGTTTATGGTCAGGTACAGAGAATTTGCTTTTTTACTATTTTTTGAACAATCCATATTCACTTTAACACAACAAAAATAAAATAAACAATAAACATAACATAACCTATATTATTCCACGGCGTTATTTTTAGGCGTTATTCGAAATAGCGCTTAACGTAAAAGCTGGGTAAATTACGTTATGCGGTAACGTTATTTTAGTACGTAGCGTTAAAAATCGAATCGCGCATAGGTTTAATGTCAAAATAACGTAGGCGCTAATACTGCATGACACTTTTTGGATTACCGATATCTCTCTAATCGCTCTCGGAGCACTTCCGCAGAGATCTGTGACGTCACCGCCCAAATAGAGAGCGCTCTGGGAGCAGTAAAGCCGAAAATGCTATAAGATAATACTGTTACGTCGGTTGAATGGCATCAAATGCGCAAACAAAAATAAGTTGGGTTATGTAGTGGTGAGAAGCAAAACAAAATTAAAAACTTTTAGGGTGGACCCCCTTTATCACTTAGGGGTATAAAAAATAGCTTAAAACCTATTCTCAAACTTATCGAATATACATATAAAATTTCATAAAAATCGGTGAAGCCGTTTCGAAGGACGAAGATAACTAAAACTGTGACATGAGAATTTTATATATTAGAAAAAGAACAAGAACTAGGTTAGTAAATGACTATATTTTCAAAAAATAAACTACGCTCGTCTAAATAACCTTCATACTCTTCCTATTAATAATCTTAATCGTTTGCCTCAAAATCTCCCTCTCGTGCAAACAATCTTGCAACAGTTGCACCACTTCCTGGTGCCCGTACTCTTTAGCAAAATCGATAGGGCTGTCTCCGTCCGCAGTCCTCGGATCGATACAAGCGTCCATATTCAACAAAAGCCTTACTATATCCGCATGTCCAAAGATGGCGGCATAATGCAATGGAGCAAATTGGTTGTTGTCTTTGCTGTTGACGTCTGCGCGGTGCTTAAGCAGCGCATACACGACGCAGTAGTGTCCGTTTTTTGACGCCAAGTGCAACGGTGTTTGGCCTTGGTTGTTGTAGATGTTGACTTCTGCGTTATATTCGATTAAGGTCAACACTATAGTGTAGTAACCTTGAGTTGCTGCGTGTATTAAAGCCTTGTCTGGATGGTGGTTGTTTTCTAGTAAAGTCAGGACTTTAGTTTCTAGACCTCGCATTGATGCCAAGTTTATATCAGCGATTTCCTTGTGGTTGATTAGGCTGTAGGTTTTGTTGTGGAACTCGTCGATTTTCAAAAAAGTGCCTTTTCGCAAAAAGTCATCCAAAAGCTCATTTTGGCTTGTAATGAACATCATTTTACGTTTACTCAAATTTAGTCTATAAAACAATTTATCCATTATATTGTAATTGTCGTTTTGTAAACTATGAATCTCGATTATTGTTAGTTGAGGTAATTTTGGCAATAAATTGTTTGAATTTACCAAAAACTCAAAATCGGCCCATTGCAATAGGAAAAATTCACTCACTTGTGGTAGTAAGTTCCAAATGGTTGCTTTTGTATCGCTGGTTTCCATTACCAGACACTTTAAAGTAGTACTTTGGAGGAAATCTTGAACGTTTTGCTCGAATTTCGTTTGAAAATCGTCCAAATATTGTTGGTATTGGTCAGATTGTTGCCTTAAAGTCGACATTTTTACTTTGACTGAATAAAATTTAGTTAGATTTGCATCGGAATTGTGGTTTAATACTAAAAATACAACCACAACTTATGCAAATAATTTCAGCTTATAACAAAGAAATTTTTAATAAATCAATCAAAAATGCAACACTGTAAACGACGTTTATCCATTATTCAACAAACATATTATTCATGGTGGTTTTAAGGGTTGATTGTTGAATACGCCCATGAAACACGGCTTAAAAGAAAATTATACAATAGACCTTAAAGGTGCGCCCGGATAAAACACGCTCGTGTTAAATATAAGTTTTTTTTTGTGTCGGGACCACCGTCAGAGAATCGCGTTTCTGCATCATAATTTATATTTTGAGAAGTTTGTAATATTCGATTGAATAAATTTTCGATCAAAATAATTAATCTGGATTATGTTGATTCAAATACACATACTTTGGAAGAATATGTTAGCGCCACAAACGAAATTGAAGTAGGTTTATCTAGGAAGACTTATCGATACGATATATCGATATACAGATTGGTCCATTTAATTAGAAAAAGTCTAATATCTCTTTTGAAAAAAAAATAGTCAAAGTCAAAAATCATTGCTATCATTTTCTTTTCCCTATTACATCATATAACCGTTATTTGAACTTTCTTTTCCAAAAACACATCGTTTTAGAGATATTAGATTGTCTCAAGTTAAATGAATCACCCGGTATAAAATTGAATCAGAGGAGGCCTTATCGATTAATATATCGATACGCCTAATAACTAGAAATATAAAATAAATTATTTCAAATGTTTCAATAAAAATATCGTATTGATAGTATCGATATTTTTTCATATTTATATCGATATGAAAAAAAAGTAGAGAGACTTTTGAAGAACATCGTTTCGATAACCATGAATATCGATAAACCCTTTTGTAAATTTATTGCTACAATTTATCGCAAAAATGTAGGTTTTCGAGAACCGCTTTCAAAAACCCAAATTTGCACTTGCGCAAAAAACTATTCCTAAATTTTTCAAAACGATTCCAGAAAATATAGATGGAAAAACCCTAATAATCTGGCTTTATTTTAAACTTGTTGGAGAAATAAATGTAAAAATAATATTTTAGGGCCGATTACATCATTGTATCGAATTACAGGTCGATGGGTTAATAATATTGTGACGTAACACAAAGAGACGCCCGACCTTATTTGGAAATCTTAGACGCCACCTTTTAAAAAACGTAACGACAGGTAGCGCGGTTTAATATATAGGCGAGTTTCGCGTGCAGACAACAACAACAAGGTTGGTAGGCGTGTGGGCGTCAAACAACAGGGTTGCCAACAAATAATGGATCATTCGTAAAAATAAACATTTTTCTATTGGCATTTTTGGTTATTTTTATTACTCGTTCCAACTTTGACATTGACGTTTAAAAAATCGATTATGTATCGAGAAGAAAAGCACACAAAAACGATAACCTTTATGAACATCCCTAAGCCAATAGAGGGCGCCAATTAAATAAAAAATTAAGCCTACTAGGATTAGGATTTATTTGAAATCGATAAAATCTGGCAACATTTTATTTGTTTTATTACACAAAATAAATTATCGATTGTCGTTATAAATACGTGGAATTGATGTATTTTACTGAGAAACCTCAAGGATATAACTACATAGGTCGATCCCACGCTAAAAATTATTGATCTTTCTATGAATGGTAAATGCTAATGTGGTATGTGACGTCATTTTGGTCGCGTGTAGGTTGCAAAATTTTTTTTTCAATGAAGTTTACGTGAATCGAATTAATCCAAAATTGCTGTTAATTATTCCTAAAGTCACGATAAATCGGCTTCTAATCTTTTCGATTCGATTTATGCCTCCTAAAAACCGAGTACCCATCCATCCGAGGTAATGAAAAGTCGGTACGACTATCGAATGCCCTTAGGGCTCCAGTAACGTTTCATTTCAATTTGCTTTGAAATTCTTCTTTTAATGTTAATCTATTTATTTAAATGCCCGAGAAGGCGTCGGAGTCGGAATAATTAGCAATTCAAGTGCGACTTTGTTTGTGTTTTACATAAATGTACGATATCTGATTGGGGTGAATGAGAACAGTGTGAATTTTTCTTTACCACTTCTAATAATTAACACCTTTTTTTTAGGGCCGGCTTGTCAATAAAGAGTTACCCCATAAGTTAGGAATTGGGAGTATTGAAACAAGTGTTTATTTATCCACGGTCAACTGCTAACTCGAAAGTTATCCCAGGAAAAAGTTAACCCGCCGCACTCTCACGGAATTTGATCCTGGGTTAACCTTAAAATGTTCTGTTTTGTCAAAAATTTAGTAACTATGTTGGCAACACAAGTCTTTTCATATACAGTGACCACGTAAAGGTTGGAATAAAATCTATAAAATATACAGGGTGGTTATTTTTCAAAAAACCTCAAACACGTCAATTTTTGATTTATTGGCCGTTTTTTTGATGATAATACCATATATACAGGATGACCCAAAAACAAGTTATGACAGCTAACTTTACTTTTTTAGATGAAAACGCCAATTTTTTATTTCATTTTTAAATTCTACGTTAAATTCTGAACATATTTCATGTATCATGTCCTATACCTATCTTCAACTGTTTCGAATATATTGACAGTTGAAAATTGACTTTTTTGCAACTTTGACAGGCTGTAAAACCTAATCTTAAGGTTTAATCCTTAGTTTTCCATACTATCATTTGACACTAACTTTGAACTTAATCCATGGTTAAAAATTCCGGCTAAATTTAATCTCCGGTTAAATTCAAAATTGATTTTTTTAGATCGACCTTAAAATACCATAAAACACCTCTGTTTCGATGTTCGTGAAATATATCGATCCATAATAAAAATTAAACAATAATAATGACAAATGACAGTAACGACTTATAAATGGCGGAACAGCCTTACCCTCACCAAATAACAAAAATTCAAAAACAATATGAACATCTCCATCGTTTCTTCTGCTTCTCAGGCTTCTCATGTCCATGAAAATGAAAATGGAAATCGTGACAAGGCAAGGTTTTTAAATGAGAGAGGTTGTCTGGTAACTATAAATAGATGACGTCATCAGATAGTTGTAATGGAGATTTATATTTTGTATCATTATCAAAGCTATCAGCAACCCAAGGTTCCTAAACTAATTAGGTTGTCTAATAATGGTAAGCAGATAACGTCATTAGAAAAACCTAATGGATATTTCCAACGACAATAATATTTCCATTAATTGCATTATGTTAAGGCGCCCTAGATGATGTCATAAAAGTTATTAGACAACTTACCTCTGTTCCTGAGTTGGTGACAACTGAAACGATAAAAAAATATGTATCGATATATCGTTGCCATTCCTATTATCGATATAAACATTGATACGTCATCGATGGTGGTATATATCGATACAAATGTATCCTATCAATATATATTGATAAGGATCTTGTTCCAAAGTTGGCAATAGACAAGAATTGTGCTGAAAAAATAGAAAAAAGAATTTCAAAAGGAATTGAGAAAAATTGGTAGACATGAAGCAGTGGCGCATCCAGAAAATCTGTTTGGGGAGGGCCCTACATAGGTTGAGGCTTGTGACTGAAAATCTAAAAAAAAAATTGAGGTGTCAGGTTGCCACGCCTTAATGTTGCTACATTTTTTTAAACGTAAAAATACAGATTTGGAGAGGCAGCCTGGGAAGGGAACTGGCCCGATAGCACACCCTTTAGGTGCACTACTGACATAAAGTATTTTGTTTTTATTCCAAGCTCTTGGATTTTTCTATTCTAGGCTCCTGAATTACTTTATTTTGACAAATTCAAGAGCTGCAAATAAACAAAAATTGAGAAATAAAGGAAAGAAAATCAAGAGAAATTGAGAAAAAATTGGCATGTCAAAAGACATTCATGTGTCAAAAATTGAATTGGAAAAATAGAGAAATAGAGGAAAGAAATTCAAAAAGAATTGAGAAAAATTAGTAGACACAAAGTTTTTGAAGTTTTTCTATTTAGGGCAATTTGAGAAAAAACGAAAATTCAAAATCCGAGAATAGACAAAAATTGTGAAAAAAAAGGAAAGAAATTCAAGAGAAATTGAGAAAAATTGAGACAAAATTTGAAGACGGTAGACTAGAGGAAATTCATGGTTAAGTTTTTTTTATTCCAGGCTCTTGAATTTTCTTTACTTTGACATTTTCAAAAGCCGGAAATAGACAACAGTTGAGAAATAAAGAAAAGAAAATCAAGAGAAATTTAGAAATAATTAGTAGATCAGAAGAAATTCATGTGTTTTTCTGTTTCAAGTTTTTGAATTTATTATTATGTTTTTTTTTTTGAGTAATTCAAGAGCCAGGAATAAACAAAAATTGAGAAATAGAGAAAAGAAATTCAAGAAGAATTGAGAAAAATTAGTAGACACAAGGTTTTTGAAGTTTTTCTATTTAGGGCAATTTGAGAAAAAACGAAAATTCAAGAGCCGGGAATAGACAAAAATTGATGTGAAAAAATTGAGAAATAGAGAAGAAAAAATGGTAAATAAGTAGTGTACGCACAAAGTATTTTGATCCAAAAACCAAGTGCACCACTTATGTAAAATTAAACAAGACAAGGGCTCATCGATACGAATGATACGATATATCGATATGTTCATTGATAAGCTTTTGATGATGGTGTATATTGATACAAATTTGTCATAATTATCGATAAGGAGCAAAATTAATGGCGTTTCTTGTTGGTAGAATTAGTGCAGAGAAAATGTTTTACTATCTGTTTCTTTAACAGGTTGAGAGAAAGAGACTCGGTGCCCAATGAATCTACCAATCGGAAACGCCATAAAACCATCACCATTAAAACCCTCTAATATCATTCGTTGAACGCCAATGTCAATATTTTACATGAATGTCAATTGTCATGTCATTACTGTCAATATTGTCATCGCAATTTTCCAATATTTATTATTATTTACAATAGAGCGATTTGACGTCCTGTTTATGGTTCATTC